TGCTTGGGCATTAAAAGATTAAAATATAAGGCCTGTATTCTGGTAGGGATATGCAAGCAGCTGGTAAATCTGGAAGGAAGTACACAATAAGAAATATTTGGGAGCCTCTAGCTTAGGGAATAGGATAAAGAATTTGCTCCCACTCTATGGCTAGGTCTACACTACACCCCTCTGTCAGCAGAGGGATGTAAATAAAGCACATTGAAAGTGCAAATGAAGCGGGGATTTAAATATCCCATACTTTATTTGCATTATCACGTTCTGGCACTGTTTTGAACAAGCGCCATTTCGAAACTGAAACCGCGGTTTAGACACGGGTCTGCCGACAGCAGGGTGATTTTTCGACAGATCCCGTACTCCTCAAAAAATGAGGATTATAGGATCTGTCGAAAAATCACCCTGCTGTCGGCAGACCCGTGTCTAAACCGCGGTTTCAGTTTCGAAATGGCACTTGTTCAAAACAGCACCAGAATGTGATTATGCAAATGAAGCATGGGATATTTAAATCCCCGCTTCATTTGCACTTTCAATGTGCTTTATTTACATCCCTCTGCTGACAGAGAGGAGTAGTGTATACCTAGCCTATGATTGCCATTTTTACACTTTAACTATCTGGTGGCCTATGCGAAATACATTGGCAGTCTTAATCCAGTTCCTTCCAAAGGCCACTGTTACAATAACAGTCACATTTTAAGCAAAAATGATCAGAACTAAACAACACTTTCATCCCTATAAGTAGTCTTCTGATGGTAGAGGTGGTTTAGCAGGAATTTGGAGACTCCTGTGTTGTAATTAATTGATTACATAAAGAGAAGACTCAGATCTCAGTCTGGTACTTTTTGTGAGCACTAAACTCCCTACCAAGGCTGTGCCAAGACTCAGGGGTTTTTTTTCGAAAAAAGTAGCCTTTTTTCGAAAAAAACTTCACCTGCGTCTAGACTGCAGCCGCGTTCTTTCAAAATTAAATCGAAAGAACGTGGCTTTTCTTTCAACGGCGGTAAACCTAATTTCACGAGGAAGAACGCCTTTTTTCGAAAGTGCTCAAGACAGGAAATTAAGGTTCCAGAAGCACAAAAATTAAGGTTCCAATAATGTGTGATTTGCTGTGTATTGATTCCTTCATGCCATTCACGGAATGGATTCCTTCATACCATTCATAAAATGATTCATTCATTTCCACTGCCTGGCCGGATCCTCAGCCATGTAAATTGGGATAGCTGCACTGAAGTCAATGGGGCACTGTCTCCAAGTTCCACTTCTTGAGATGTACTATTCCATACGTTATTGTACTGAGACCCCATAGAACTGGTATCATTGAAAGGTTCCTGAATTGCATATACATCTATTAATATTCAGTAGAGTTCCTTGAATGTTAAATGTGCATTCATCATTAATCTCATGTATCTTACAAATATAACTCCAGGAATTTTTTTTTACCTATAATAGTATATAAAAGTGGATGGAAACAGCATCAAAAGTTTAAGAGCACAGGATGAAATCTTGGCACCACTGAAGTCAATGGAAGTTTTGCCTTTGATGTCGATAGGGCCAGGGTTTTCCCTGGATTGTTTTCAGATGGATTTACATAACATACAGCATTTTATGCTAACATGATTTTAGCATCTTGCTGTTCAGTCATCATCTAATCCTGTTTAATAGGAGCATACCATGAGTAGGGATGCTAGCGAGTAGTCAACCAGAGTATCGACTACTCACTTCCTCCCCTCCCTTGCTGCCTCAGTGAGACACAGCAAGGGGAAAGAAGAAACAGCAGCCGTTTCTGGAGAAATCGGCTTAAAAGCCAGTTTCCTCCCAGCACTAGCTGTGCAGTGCCGCATGCATCCTTTCCCCTCCCCTCCCCCCCTGCCTCCCGCTGCCTCTATGCCTCTATCAGAGGTAGTGAGGGGGATAGAGAAGGCTGCTGCAAAGCAGCCTCTGCCCACAGCGGGGTGAGGCTCACTGTGGGAAGAGGTTGCTCCGGCTGCAGCCACCGTCCACGGGGATCCCAGCATAGAGCTGGACACACCACAGACAGGCTGCTGCTGCCAAACAGCCCTTGTTCACAGCAGCCTGAGCTGGCCATACAGGGGCTGCTGCAGCAGCAGCCCTCTGTTTGCAGTAGACAGGGCTGTCCGTCGTGAACAGGGGCTGCTGGACTCAGCACAAGCAGGGTCTGAGCAGTCCCGGCTCATGCTGCTCTGGGATGCTGTGCTTCTGCATTTTAAATGTAGTAAAGAGCCTGGTGTCCATTATGCTCTTTACTACATTTAAAATGCAGAGCTGTAATGTGGGTGGCTCCCGGGGCCAGCATGAGCTGTGACTCCATGAACTGTGACTCATTCCAGGCTCCAGTCAGCTCCTGGAACTAAGCCTGCTGCAACTCTGCAGAGCGGTCCTTATCAACTAATCATGTAGGCCGTGTCCAGACTCAGGGGGTTTTTCGGGAAAAGTAGCCTTTTCCCGAAAAAACTTCCCCTGCGTCCAGACTCAAGCCGTGTTCTTTCGAAATTATTTCGAAAGAACACGGCTTTTCTTTCGATGGCGGTAAACCTCATTTCACGAGGAAGAACGCCTTCTTTCGAAAGTTCCTCTTTCGAAAGAAAGCGTTCTTCAATGTAAATAGGGCTTCTTCAAAAGAGAGCATCCAGACTCGCTGGGTGCTCTCTTTCGAAAAAGCGGATTGCTCTTTCGAAAGATCCGCCTGCAGTCTAGACGCGATCTTTCGAAAGAGGCTCTTTCGAAAGATGCTTTCGAAAGAGCCTCTTTCGGAAGAAGCCTGCAGTCTAGACATAGCCGTAGTCAATACAATTAGTCAGTATATGACATAGGTGCTCAGATATTGTGGAGGTGGGAGATAAATACACTGATCCAGCTAAATGAATATTTATACCTCTCCTTTCCCACTATTGCTACTTGCCACATTCCAGTTTATCAGCCCAGGTTATCACCTCTGAATCTTCCAAAGGATTTATGTAATGGTCTTTGCCTAAGGAGTTCCCAGGGACCTTACTACTATCTCAGTGCAAGCTATTGAAGGTAAAGATGCTCTAAATATCTAGTACCACTAAGTTCATTAACTACAGACCAAATCTGTCAGCTGAATACCTTGAATGGGATGCCCTTTGAAGAAAATCCACTATAGCAGAGGAAAAGCCGGCCTCCAATAGGACAAATGAGGAGAGTCAATAAGCAAAGCAGTCAGGCTCCATCCTGTTCATATTTGGGAAGCAGTGTTAGAAGATCACAAGATAACAAACAAATTAACAAAACACCCTGAGAGCTGGTGAAATCTTGCACTCTAGGTTGCATGCACATCCCTGAAATGGAGGAGACATTTAGGGCATGTCTACACAACAGGGCAAAACTCAAATTGTGCCACACAATTTCAGCTACATCAATTGTGTAGCTGAAGTAGAAATAGAAATCGGCTTTTGGTGCTGTCTACACAACAGGAAGTTGAAAGAAGATCACTCTTTCTCCGACTTTCCTTACTCTAAGTGAAATGAGGATTACAGAAGTTGGAGTAAGAAGTCCTCCAACTCGACATTATTTTGAAATAATGGCTTGCTGTGTAGATGTGTCTTTTTTATTTCGGAATAACATCAGTTATTCCAAAATAATGCTGCTGTGTAGACATAGCCTTACAGAGTTACTGCTGCCTAAGAAGATTATCCTGTACCCCTTTTCTGTAGGTGCTATGGCTTAGCAAACCTGTTTAGAAAGCTGAGAGTCACAGGTTAATCCTCCCCCTGGATTTTGTACTCACTGAAGTGAATTCTGTTTTATTTATTCCTCCACACTCCAATCCCAATATTTTATTTTGTTACAGAAGTATGGATTAATGTTTAGAATCAAATGCATGAAAAAGACACAGCGTCTGGAGGTCAGGCTCATGCATTAAAGATACACAGACAACAACACAAAGTAGTTTATTTGAGCAGGCCTGTTGTTATATGGGCATGCCAAAACATGGAAGTATCAGAAAACCTCTCTACCTCCCTTCCTTAAGGATAAACTTAGAGAGGGATAATAGAGAGGGGTAGTGCAATTTATGGTAGCCGATAAATTGGATTAATAGGGAAAAGCCCACAGCTTCATAATAATAGTATATGACATTTATATAAAGCCTTCCAACTGATGATCACTGAGAGGTATGACTCTCCCAGCATTACTCACATGGGAAGGAAATGAAGCACAGAGGACAAATGACTTGTTCAAAGTCATATGGAAAAGTCAGTGATCAAATTAAGGCTAACCATAACCCTGCCACAACAGGCAAGTGTTGCTGCTTTCCCTAATATGGACTCATTTTATTATCTAGTACAAGCCTTTATTCATACCCACAGTATGAGAATCATACTAGAAATGGGGACAAACAGACTAAGACTATGCTGGAGAATCACAGAGAAAGAGAAAGAACTTGAGATAGTGAAGGATGAAAGCTAAGCAATAGACACTTATTAATTTTACCCCCACCAGAGGGCGCTCTCGGTTTGTGTTGCTCTGTCCATTGCTCTCCTGGTAAATTGCATTCTGTAATTCTCACCCAACCAGGAGCATGCACATTGAAGAGTGCAAACATTGCCTAAGCCATCCTGAGAGCAGGCCTCTTCCTCTGCACCAACCATTTGATTATTTTAACAGTAATGCAGTCACTCAGCATGCAGCAAACAGCTAAACTATGTTGAGTTAATGAGTGTTTCAAATAAATAGCTTTAACACTGGGGCGGGGGGAAGGAGGGGCAAGGGTACTTGTGGGGGGGGGGGACCATGTATTGTCATTTGTGTAAAGGAGTATTCTCAACCTTTTGATGCTGGGGACTAGCATGCTGCCTTCCTAAACCATGTCAAAGATATCTCACAAACTGGCACTGGGCCATGGACCAGTCACAGGGAAATATTGGTGTAGAGGTAAGGTCTCTATTTAGCTTCAGGACAAACGAACACAGGCAATGTCAGCAGAACCAGATTCACTTGCTGCCCTGATAATAGGCCTCAGTCTTTCCCTGCAGGGGCCACATCTGTGGGGCTACATGTCACTCCATTCTTGAACACAGTATAATTGATGTTCTACTTATATTTTAACAAAAGGCTTCTCTGCAATTACTGCCCATTGCCTGGGGGTAAGCCCAGTGTACATAGGATCCAAGCACTTGCAGAGGGGAACTAGGAAATCTGAAAGGGAATCATCCCAACCTTCAGTATTCATTCAATACGGGTGGTCAAATTTTAACAAGGGGCTCCCTCCGGATCATATGTACTCTCTTCTGAAACTGCCAACAAATAGACTGGCTAAAGCCAGTAATGATGAGAATCCAGGAAAGGGTTTTGAGGATGCCAGTCCTGAGGAAACTGGACTCAATACACAGAAAGGGTTTTTGAAGCAGTTGCAAAGCACAAGGCTCCTTGAAATGCCTAGTTTCTCAGCTAAGGTCAATATCAGAAAGTCAACTTATAAACTCGATAATGTATTAAAAAATGCTGGTATAACAATTTAAGCTTTCAAAGACAAACAAAACTAAACCCAATTTCTTATGAGACATTGCTGAACCTGATGTTACCATCTGAAATGTGTTCAAAGGAGCAAATTATCTCCTCCCCACTCATAAGCTCTTACCTGATGTGGGATCGCTAGAGAAGATTATGTGTGGGTCCAAAATATTCTCTAGCACAGAAGTTTTGTATGCGCTGTACGTGATAGATTCATAAGGCAGAATGCAGAGGGGAAACCTGCCCAACTTCATGTGAATGTTTCCTACTTGTGGCCAGCCAACCACCTCTTGAGTGCCTCCTTCTGGCCTGGGGTGGTTCTCTCTCCTCAGTTTCCCCTCACTAGAATTTTCCATCTCTCTGGGGGATTCACATTGCTCAGCGCCAGGGCTGGGTCAGTCTCAGAGTTCCATCTGTTTTGGGTATCCAAGCCCAGCTGCAACTCTTCAGCAGTAGGCTTTCTTTCCCCAGCAGTCTCTTCAAAATTCCCTCCTGCATCTCTACCTGAGTCAGCAGCAAAGTCTTAAATTAAAAAGAACTTTTTAAAAGTCTTCTTTGGGCTCCTCCTCAACTCTCCTTTAATCACACTCTTATTTGCAAAGTAGCTGGTCCCAGAGCTTCTCTTAGGAACCCCTCAGTAGAATGCAAAACTACAAACACTAGTGAATATTCTTGCATCCATTGCAGGATTGAACCTCTCATCTCTCTTGGGCTCCCCCACCAGTTCTCTGCTCCTTTGCAGGAATATTGGCCCCCGGGTGTTCCTGGTGCTAGGTCTACTCTTGGGCTTCTCAGGTCTCTGTTAGCTGCTGCCAGAGACCTGATTTTGGCCACAGAACTCATCTGTCTCCTGAAATTGCTCATTACTACCTATTTGTCACAGATGGAATGGGGCTCATATCTCCTTAAAGAGCCCAGCCACCCTGCGACACCACTTCAATGGGAAATGAAAGGAGGGATGCGCTTGTGGTGCAGGCACTAGACTGAGCCTCACAAGACCTCACTTCTATTCCTGACTCTGGCACAGACTGCTTGTGTCACTTTCAGTGAGTCACTGAATTCACTGTGCTTTGGTTTTGCTTCTGCAAACTCTTTCAAGCCCATGTTCCAAGTGACCTGACCCAATGGGACTCTGATCTCACTTGAAGCCTCTCTGTGATGTTTAAATATTAAATGAAGTTTGGAAAAGGGGGAATGGAACCAGCAATATCATTAACACACAACTGACAGCTATATCTGTTAGAATGTTAGCTCTTTGGAACAGAGATCATCTTATTGTTATACATGTGTTCAAAGCCTCAAATCCCCACCACCATACTAACCATCAACATAATTTTTAAGTATGATGTCAAGTTATCCCACACTATTTACAAGTGAAAATAATAAAAGCACACTGAGATAACCTTCTACGTAGTGCAGTTAATCCTAGTGAAGTAGAAAAAATTGCACCATTAATATGTTTCAGGACCTAGTCCCCTTGTAGGAGAGGATGAACTCAGTGATACACATGGAAGGCATGAGTGCCTAGGAAATGAAGACTAGATCTTTTGGATTGTATAGTAGTAGTAGTAGACATCCGTCAGTCTTGAGAGACCATGGGTTTATGCCCCTGAGAGGTAAACAAGTTACTTGGTTTTATGGCAACTTTGGCTGTGGCTGAAGAGATCCACTCAAAAGAGACAATCTCTGCCACGTCTGTCACATTTAAAGGTTATATTTTTATCCTTTGGAATCTGCCTTTTGTGAGCTCTTTTCTGCTCTGCTAAGCTGGACTAGTGCCTCTCGTAACTCCAGAGACTTTTCTTAAGCTCTTGTTTCTAAAGGCTGCAGTCTTAAGTGTGACCTTCCCTTTTGTCTAAATCCATGTCCATTTATTTGAGCTCTCGCTTGCACACATCCTTTGAAAGGCAACTTTGGGTGACCTTTGGGTTTTTTTTCAGATGCCAGTTTGCGATAGAAGATGTCCTTTTGGATGCCCCATCATTTATTCAGCACATATGCCCAAGCCAGCAGAGATGTTACTGTTTGAGGAATGTTTGCATGCTGGGTATGTTGGTCTACTTCTGTTGGTGACTTTGTCTCTCCAGGAGATTCCAAAGATTTGAGGAAGGCAACACAGATTAAAGCTGAAATGAACAGCTGAAAGAAAACATATTGTGGCTATCAGTGAACTGCATGCAACAAGCTGGACATATGCAATCTGTCCTATCCGTACATTTTCCCCCAGACCACAAGATGGTGCCCTAATCACATCTGGTATGACCTCTATGGGTATTTGAGCAGAAACGATGCCTCTGTTTGCCAAGATAAATTTGGGTTTGAGATCTGCCCTGAGACCTTATTATATTCCACAAAATAAGACCATTGAAATAATTTGTGGATTTCTTTGGTTACTGGGCATAATTCATTATACAACTGAAAACTCTCCAACTGTATAAAAATCTCCCATTGTCTTCTTGCTTCTGTGACGTTTAAAGTACTATAATGTGTGTCATTGTGAAAGAGCGCTGATTTTAGCACAAATTGTTTTTTTGAATTATGATGTTCCATACTGACTTACATTAAATTATTAGCATGAAATTTTCAAATGGGAATAACAGATAGCATGGACTGTGGTGCATCAGTAATTAGAACAGTTTGGAAAATCACTTGCATGAGGAATCAAGAACTTTGGGAAATCATGTAGTTTAAGTTGAATTTATGTCCTAGTCTAAATTTATAATTTGATTAGAAGTATCCTCTGAATTTGGTGGGTTTCTCTGAGGTTATTTGTGAGTGTGTGTGTATGTATTATTACCACATAGCATGGCTACTTAGAAGTGGAAAAGAACAAAACCTGAAGGACAGATATGTTTAGAGGACCTACACAGCAATATTGAAACTCCTGTGCACTTTCTGCAGTAGGGCTTTAACAACACTGTTTGAAAAGCTAATTATGTTCTCATGCCGCAATCTGTTTCCAAATGCTTACCCTTCCCTCTCCCACACAAAATACCAGAACTCCCTTCTTCCCGAAAGCACCCTAACCTGAGCCATCTTCCTGAGGCCAGTTTCTTCCTTTTACCACTTGATCTGTCTCCCCACTGCACAACTGCTCCAACTCACTTGCCTTTTCCTATGCCAAAAGCCTAGTTGGGGAACTGGGAGCAGGAAGGTAGGAAGCATGGGGAACACAAGTTAACATTCCAGAAGGCAGTGTATGTTGGGACTAGATCTGGATCAGAATCTCAGCCTCCCAGCTGCTGGATGCTATTTTGATGCTTTTGCTGGGGCATCCTACCTAACCCACTTCCCGCCACTAGAACATTTAGGTATGTCTTTGCCTGAGCATGGCTGTGAGACCTGGGGCCAATAACTGTAAACCCAAGTGTACAGTATACTGTGGACACTCAAGTATGGGCTTGGAAACATCAAGCCTACGAGCCTGGATCCCACAGACCTGGGATACAATGCAATGTAGACATACTCTTAGGGCCATATTTTTCAAAACTATTTAAGTGCCTAAAGATGGGATAGGCTCCCGGTGAGATTTAAAAAAGCTAAGGCATTTTTGAAAACCCCATTAGGCACCTTTCTGCAGCTTTAGATAACTAAACACCTTTAGATAACTAAACACCTTTAGAAATCTCCCTCATAGCCATCAGGCATTCCAATAAACTGATCAATCTTCTAAAATGTAAACCCTATTTAACAAATTCTCGCAAGAACAACATGAAGACATTTTTCAAAATGTGTAAGATTATATTTATTCTCATTTTTGTTTCTTATGATAGCCCTTGGAAATCTGAAACTTGAAAACAACACTCCAATTAACCTTTTTCTTGCGTGGAACACAAACGTACTTTGTTGTGTGGTGGCTCATAAGTATTTCTCAGCTTTTCCCCTGCCACATGTGAAACATGACTGTTGTACAGACAAACCTTATCACAACAGAAGACATAACATACTGAATCACTGCTCTAATGACCCACACCCCTCAATCAATCTTTAATTTTCTGTAAACTTTCTGCCTCATTGTTCTGCCCCCTGACTTTAGTCAGATTTGGGACCTTACTGTGCTAGACACCATACAAATTCTGGGAACTACTGTCCCTGCCCCGAAAAGCTTACACATAATGTAAAAGATTACACATAAAAGCTTGCTAATGTGAAACAAAATGCAAAAAGTGAGTGTGAGACTTTATCCACATAACAAATGATTTTTTTTATTTGATTTTGGCATTGGCTAAAATATCAAAGTATTTAATACTGCTATAGTTATATCAGTACGTCACCTTTAGCCTACTATGTGTGTGTGCAATTTTTGGTTCAGCTTATGTCACTTGGGAAGAAGTTTAAGTTAAACAAATAAACAAAAAAGCCACTAATATCGGAATAAGAGTGTCCACACAGGGGTCAGACATACCTGTATACACACAGGAGTTAGACATACCTGTATAATAATAATTGGTATAGCTAGTAAAACTTTTCAATGTAAACAGGGCCTAATAAACAGGGTCGCCATGGTAACACTACTAATATGACCTGGTTATATAGGCTAGCTATGGGTCTAGCTTGATTATTAGCTGCTTGTCTGACAGGGATTTTCCCAAAAAGTGCCTCCCTTATTTTTTTTAGATCCTCAATTTTTTCACTGAATTTTAGTGCTAGCAAAAGAAGGTGGGTTGAAGACCCTAGAACTGGAAGTCCTTGTTTATCCATGGCAGGCTGTACACTAGGCCAAAATTTCCCTCCCAATATCTCTTGGGGCTATGTTTATACTGCAGCTTTCTTCCGCAAAAGTTTATGCAAATGAAGCACGGAGCAGAATATCACTGTGCTTCATTTGCATAGTTAATTAGCAGCCATTTTTGCGCAAGAGGCTTTTGCGCAAAAAGGAGATGTATAGATGGCTCCTTTTTGTGCAACCCCCCCCTTTTTGCGCAAACCCCCCTCTTGCGCAAAATGGCTGCTAATTAATTATGCAAATGAAGCACAGTGATATTCTATTCCACGATTCATTTGCATAAGCTTTTCCGGAAGAAGGCTGCAGTATAGACATAGCTCCATTGTGCTCTGTCTTCATTTAGCCATTACTCTTAGCTTCATTTAGCCATTACTTTGCCACTTCCATTAGTCATTTTTATACTTGTGCAATGTAGGTGCAAAACTGCATAATGGTAACATGTTAGACCCACTTGCACTTCCTTTTCCCAGGTATACATGACTGGGCAAAGTTGAAGGCAATGGAGAATGAGGCCCGCAGTGTTCATTCAGTCCTTGACAGTTTTTCCAAAACTTTCAACCATCATCACCCAAAGTGAAAAGCAACTAAATGCTGACAAATATTTAGATACAAATGCTGAAACTCCTGCGATGGTGGAACTAGAGTGCCTGGCATTAAACAAGGATACTGGATATAAATGGCATTGCAGAAACTTAATAGAAAGAGGATAATTAATGAGACACAGTAATATTAGGGTACAAACAATATGGCTACGTCTACACTGGCCCCTTCTTCGAAAGGGGCATGCTAATTTTGAACTTGGGAATAGGGAAATCCGCGAGGGATTTAAATATCCTCCGCAGGATTTAAATAAACATGTCCGCCGCTTTTTTTCCGGCTTGGGGAAAAGCCGGAAAAAAGCGTCTAGACTGGCGCGAAGTAGGAATAAGAGATCCCCCGGAAAAGGGCTTTATTCCGGAGGATTGCGCCAGTCTAGACGCTTTTTCCAGCTTTTCCCCAAGCTGGAAAAAAAGCGGTGGCCATGTTTATTTAAATCCCACGGGGGATATTTAAATCCCCCGCGGATTTCCCTATTCCCAAGTTCAAAATTAGCATGCCCCTTCTGAAGAAGGGGCCAGTGTAGATGTAGCCATATTGTTTGTACCCTAATATTACTGTGTCTCATTAATTATCCTCTTTCTATTAAGTTTCTGCAATGCCATTTATATCCAGTATCCTTGTTTAATGCCAGGCACTCTAGTTCCACCATCGCAGGAGTTTAAAAAATAATTACATATTAATTTAATTAATTAATTATATTATATATTGACTTGGTACATGTCACCTCAGGAAGAGATGCAGAGATAAATTTCCAGACTCCATAAGTGATTGCTTCTTTAAGCAGCTTGCCCTGGAATAAACAAGAGGAGAGTCAATTCCTGATTTAGTCCTAAGTAGAGTGTAGAATTTGGTCCAAGAGTTGTCTATATATGACTCACTTGGTAATAGTGACCATAAATAATTATACCGATATAACCAAAAAAGACCCCACTACAGTAACATTTAACTTTAAAAAGGAGCACTATACAAGAAAGAGAACACTAATTACAGTGACATTAAAATGAGCAGTCATAAGAGTAAAACGCCTGCAAGCAATACTTAAAAATACCATAATAGTGGCTTGGACTAATGTGAAGCCCAAATACATTTTAAAAAAAGACAGTAAGAGGCTCAAACAAATGCCATCATGACTAAACAGCAGAGTCATAGAAGTCATTGAAAGCAAAAAGGGATCCTTCAAGATTTGGGTGTCAATCCTAATGAGGAAAATAGAGAGAAGCACACATTCTGTCAAATAAAATGTGAAAGTATAATTCAGCTCTCCAAAAAAGAATTTGTGGTGTAACTTTCTAAGGATGGAGAAATGTTCAGAATCTTTTTTAAGTATATCAGAATCAGGAAATCTGCGAAACAGATAGCAGGGCCACTAGATGAAAAACATGTGTAAAGAGCACCCAAAGAAGACAAGGCCATTCTAGAGAATATAATGAAATTCTTTGTGTCAGTTTTCATGGCAATGGGCAAAGTAGCTCTAGGTGGAAAGAGGCTTAGCATCCTCTGTGTACTGCAGGAAGGTTGTGTGTACAAATCCTGCATAAGCTTGTGAGGTGTGGATAACAGTGATGTGAGTGACCTGCTAGTAGAACCACAAAACTTTTATTGACATTGATCCAATGGGCATAATACGTCTTGGGTCAATTTTTTCCCTTTTATCATACTCAATAGCATCTTGTCTTATGGTTCCACAGAAAAACTTTCTAACTCTGGGGACATGTCTACACTGGGAAATTATTTTGAAACTACTAAATTCGACTTAAGATCTCCTGATTTAACAAATTCAAACGTGCGTGTTCTCATTATGGAGAAGTATTGAAATTATTCCGAGGATATGGACGTGCTATTTTGGACCCAGAGCCCCAGGAAGCTCTCTGGGGAGATGCGAGAGGCCTTCCAGAGGCCAATTAGTTTGAATTAGCAGCACCAGAGCATCCACACTATCATTATTTTGGACATACAAGTTCAGAATTAGTGTTATTCCTGATGAAAAGCAGGAGTACAGAGTTCGAATTCCGTAGCCCCTTATTGCAAAATAATAGGGTTGGTAGTGTGGATGCACCACTTTCTAATTCAAACTTGGGGGGAGGGGAGGTGTTTCGGACAAAGGTCCTAGGGTAGACCAGGGCTAAGAGTGTTAGGCTCTAGCATAAGCATCCAAGGGAGGTTGTGGACTCTTCATCATTGGAGGTTTCTAAGTACATGTTGGACAAACACCTATCGGGGTGGTTTAGGCTGATTCCTCCCTCAGCACAGGAGAATAGATTTCATGACTTGTTGAGGTCCTTTCCAACTCTAACTATATGATTCTATTATTTATTTAAATGGGACTCTTGGTGGAAAAAGGGACTACTCATCATGTGGCAAAAGAGACAGGAGCATCTGGCTCCATGCAAATAATGCAAAGAGGCTGAAACTACCCTGAGTTTGGATTGGAGGATAGATTTCAGGTTCCCAAGACCCCATGTCTTTCCCCTTTTTTCATTTTCCCAGTTAGAGCTCAAACAGCTGGGCTTTAATTAAGCAAATTTAATTTTTATTCTAAATCCAGGGTGAATTTGAAGTTTTAAAAATAATACGCTTATGATTTACCTAAATTCAAGATGTGTCTTGAGTATTTCTTAAAGGCAAACTACATCTGTTTTACTCAGACCAATAGTTTTATCAATAAAAGCACATTTAAACAGTGACGCGTATTGGAGATTTGTGTGTGTGTGTGTGTGTGTGTGTGCATAACTCTCTGTGATAATTGCTATATGAAAGCTCCATGTAAAGAACTACAAACAGATTTCCACGCAGCTTAAATACTAATGTGAAAGTCATAAAGAGAATTTTGGGGGACAAATGCTTCTACTGACATGTTTAAGGAAGTGACACCAAAGTCAAAGTGAGCATGTATTAGAGGCAGGAATTGGCCCTTAAGAGTTCATATTTAATATGAATAAAGGCTGAATAAGAACTGCAGCTGATTTGTCCTTTTCTTTTTAAAATATTAAGGTTATGGGGAGATTAATAAATGAGACTAGGATCAGGATGGACTTATTTTTATCTTGTGCCAACATCACAAAAGATAGAACTATATGCATTCATCTACATTGGCATGATCCTGCGCAAATACTCTTTAATGCAAGAGTTTTTGCGTTAGAGTATTTGCGCAAGAGAGCGTCTACACAGGCATGTGCCTTTGCGCAAGTGATGTGCTTTTGCACAAGAGCATCCATGCCAGTGTAGATAATCTCTTGCGCAAGAAAGCTCCAATGACTATTTTAACCATCGGGCTTTCTTGCACAAGAAATTCATGTTGCCTGTCTACACTGGCCTCTTGTGTAAGAATAGTTGCGCAAGAGGGCTTATTCCTGAGCGGAAGCATCATACTTCTTGTGCAAGAAGCACTGATTTCATACATTAGAACGTCAGTGTTCTTGCGCAAGAACTCGCGGCCAATGTAGACAGGCAGCAAGTTTTTGCGCAAAAGCTGGTGCTTTTGCGCAAAATCATGCCAATGTAGACACAGCCTATGGGTATGTCTAGACTGCATCCCTCTGTTGACAGAGGGATGCAGATTAGGCAGGTCGACATTGCAAATGAGGCAGGGATTTAAATATCCCACGCCTAACTTGCATAAAAATGGCCTCTGAATTTTGCTGACTCAGCACTTTGCAAAAAGTAGCAGTCTAGAGGGGGATCTGTTGAGAAAGAAAGCCTTTTTCCATAGATCCTGTAAACCTCCTTGCAGGAGTCATATTGGATCTGTTGGAAAAGGATTTCTTTCTCAACAGATCCCCCTCTAGACTGCTACTTTTTGCAAAGTGCTGAGTCAGCAAAATTCAGAGGCCATTTTTATGCAAGTTAGGCGTGGGATATTTAAATCCCTGCCTCATTTGCAATGTCGACCTGCCTAATCTGCATCCCTCTGTCAACAGAGGGATGCAGTCTAGACATACCCTATGACAAAAAGGTCAGTGGGCTTAGAAATGCCAAATTTAATTAAAAACTTAGCTGCTTCTTACCTTTCATCCTTGCAGAGTAGTGGTCTTGACATACTAAGATTTTATTCATTTAAAAAGCAAAAGGAACTAGCTCACCCTCTGCCTCTCAAGCCTCAGGTAAGTCACACCCAGCCTAACAAAATGGTAACACTTTTAAAATATAGAAATGAAAAAAATCTCCATCAGAATGGCAAACCCAAGAAAGGAAACCCAAAGCCTATAATTTCTGCTTGGAAATGTGAAAGTGCTTAAAACAGGGGTCTATAATGAACAGATCCTGCTGTTTCTGAGTTTTGCCTGTGAAAGGCTGTTTGAGCAGCACCACAGTGTTGCTTTAATACAGACCAGGCATGCTAGAGCCTACAGCCTGTCCTCACCAATCTCATAGACAGGACAGCAAGCTTTTTGTCAGCATGTGTACCCACAGCAAGTTACTGCAAATAAGCATCTCATTTCTTGCATTACAAAATGCTTCCTGGTGACAGAACAGAAGGAAGAAGCTTCTCGAGAAACTTTTAAATATGTTTATGTACACAGGAATTAAAATGGAGCGAGTTCTTGAAAATATTATAACTAAACACACCTTGAGATTTGATTGAAGAGCATATCTGAAATCCACACTTCTACAGTTGTCTTATTATAAATATTTATTATCCATTTAAGAAGCCTACAATGCAGAAACAGGAAATATAAATGTATTCATTGTTTTTTGACAAACAATTTATTTTACAGACACCAGTGAGTGTGCATTAGAGGCCATGTTATATGACATACTGGTTGCAGCTAAGAGAGATTTCTACCCTCTGCATTTTCCCTCCCTCAATTTGTGATTTACTAACTTTACTTCATATACTGTATAAGTCTTTCATATTTGGGGCCTTTTTCTTTCCATTCATGTTCTATATTTCCATGCTAATCTTTCCATACCGATTAAACTTTCCCACTCCTTCCATGTTTCTTCAGTCTCCAAGAGTCATTTACCAGTTACAACTGGGACCAAAGCCAAAAACAGCTTAGGATCACAAATAAGATTCTCAAGCGGCACCTCAGTGAAATCACTAAATACTCTTTTCTCAAGAACCCAGAACTATAAACGTGAGACTGATTTGTCTTGTTTATAGCACCTTCTTTCAGGCCTTTCCTCTTTGCTAGGATATCTTTGCTCTCTTACCTTCCATCTCAGTGCGGGTGAGCATCTTCTCACTTATGTGGGTGCAAACTTCCTTCAATAGAGTTACTCCAGATATAACTGTAAGCAACAGGTGATGGTCTATGAATTTGGTCCAACTCCTATTTAAGTCATTGGGCAGACTCCTTTTGACATAATTGGGTATTGGATCAAGTCCCAACTTCTGTTGTTCAGGAATCATTTAATTTAACTAAATTGTTCACTTCATTCTTCCCCTAAGGGAGCACGAGGTAGTCTCTGGGAGGTTGGACACTGTAGGCTGCTTTCCAGCATACTTTTCAAGGAAAATCACTCTATTATAAAGACACAGAATAAACTAACATGGAACAATGTTAAGCCAGTTCTTGTTAAACAAATGCTACTTTATCCTCTTGCTTAAACTGAGATGAGGCCTCTTTTCGAAAAGGATTCAACCCTCCCCCCCATTGCAATGATTCTGAGCTAAACCCAAAGAAAATATTTTCTGAAAACAAATCTTATCTCAGGATTTTTAATCTTAGGAGTTAAGAAACAGGAAAGGTCTGCTTCCAACTAGCAAAAGTCAGCTGGCTTTCCCACTGCACAAATACAAATAAAAGCAAAGCTGGCTCCTTCCTGAATGGTAGAATGACAAGGAACAGTTGCAAAGGATTATTACGTTATCTTTCAGACTTTGAAAAGGACTGTATTGTTGACATCCATTTGTTAATAATCTACATGTGCTTTTCTTTTCTGTGACTCAGGAAAAGAACATCAATGTATTCTGTAAATCTTTCAAACATGGTTTTTCTCTGCTGATTGGTGCATTTTTGTAATATAGGTCAACTATTCTGGTGGGCTGGAGAGAGTAATACTATTGTCTGTCTGTGTTGCTGGAAAATATCTTCACCCAATAGATGAAGAAGAAAAAAAGAAACGAAGTGTTTACAAAGGTGGATTTCAGAAACACCTTATAATGAATATTCTTAGTCTTCACTCAGACTCTCTAAGCCACTGAGTGCCATAGTCAAGAAGACTCAACCTCTGGTGTAGGCACTGGTATGCCAATGGAAAAATTCTTTTAGGGTATGTCTAGACTACATGCCTCTGCCGACAGAGGCATGTAAATTAGACTACCTGACATAGTCAGTGAAGCTGGGATTTAAATATCCCCTGCTTCATTAAAATAAAAATGGCCACCGCGCTATGCCGGCTCAGCTCATCGTTGGCATAGCGCCGCAGTCAAGACGCAGATTGGTTGACAGGGAATGCCTTTGTCGACCGCTCCTGTAAACCTCATTTCACAAGGCATAAGGGAGCAGTCAACAAAAGTGTTTCCTGTCAACCGATCCGCATCTTGACTGCCGCGCTGTGCCAATGATCAGCTGAGCTGGCACAGCGCAGCAGCCATTTTTATTTTTTTTTGAAGCGGGAGATATTTAAATCCCCGCTTCACTGACTGTCGGGTAGTCTAATTTACATGCCTCTGTCGGCAGAGGCATATAGTCTAGACATACCTGAATTGACTTAGTTACTACCTCTTCAAGAGGTGGATTAAGTACAACAATGGAAAAACCCTTTCTGTCAATGTAGGAAGCATCTACACACTGTAGTGCTACAAGGACACAACTCTAGTGGCTAAACTCGACATACGATTACTTTAACACAGCTAGAAACTATCATAGCACCACCAAGTCAGCAAATTGTTGTAACAAAGCTTTTAATGTCATTTATAAAAAAATAAAGATATTTACATTTGCAACTCATTTGATGGCATCCGCATTATAGTACTTTACTAGATAAAGAAATGTCATTAGAATACACAATAGGGTTAACATCCTTCATAGATGAGCATAATGACAGGACAGACTGTTTAAAATATTTAAAACTTCTTGACCTTTTATAGCTTGATACAAATACATTCCTTACAACACATGTATCCCAGTTTTACAGTAGGTAGGATCCCTTCCAGGTTAAGACACGGGAACTTTGTCCTATCTATTAACGTGTCTTAGGATAGTTGCTGCTCTTGTATATGACACCTTAACACATAAAGAAGGGCAGTAACCTAATTTCAAGGGCTATAAACTAACTCGCTTATGCTACTATTGGTGTCTTTTTAAGAAAAATCTAGTTAAAAAGGACAAAAGTAATATGACTATATTTATTGCATAGATGCACAAAATAGGATTCATGAATACAAAAGCCATCGAAATATATTATAAATCTATTTGAATTTCAAAACTACTCTAGAATACTGCTTTGGAATACAAATAACACTGTTTGGGATTAGTTTGTAGAGTCGGATTATGGTCCATGCTTTTACTTCTATAATCTTATATTCCTCTTCCATTACTGTAAAAGCCTCAGGTCAACAGCTACTCAGGCAGTGGTAGTAGTGATGCAGCAAAAGAAAGGCCTTTCCAAATCCTGGACTTCAGCTGCTGCAGCCAGCCAGTTCAGAGAAATTCCCATCTTACCTCCTCCCTTCTTTATTACTTCCCTTTAAGTGCATTTCCCCTCAGAACTCTAAGGGGAAAGAAGGGATAGGGTACAGAGATTTCACACAGTTTGTTACAGATAGTGTCTAGTCGCCATCCTATCCTTTAGTTTTGTGCTCATAAATCATTGCTCTTAAAAATATCCAGCAAAAAAATTAGCTTTACTTCAGCTAAGCTGTAGTTCCACATAATCTGTTGGCTGTTGAAATATCTTTGGTGTCAGATTCTGGTCTTCCTGAAACCACGAATGGCCAAGTCTGTAAACAAACAAACAAACAAACAAACAAACAAACAAACAAACAAAAAAGCCATTTCACATTAGAAGGATGATTGCACTGCACTTTACTTTTATAAAAGTAAAACTGGAGCTTTTATTAACAGTTAATTTTCTAGTACCCCACCTTGAAAAACAACCATTTTAGTCACACTGGGAAGCACTCCACACTGATTCTCTCTAAAATTATTTTAATTGGAATCAAATAATCCTCAACTATGTTTTTATTATCAGCATCCACTTATTCAGGTCCAAATATAAAACATTTAAAAACTGCTTTGTAATTGGTTACCTAGTTTTATAAATAATAGACCCTTAAACTAGTGCTAAATAATCAACCACCTTATTACATCCAGACAGACAAAACAGTAATACTCTTCTTTATACCTTAGGTCTTGAAGTTTTGATTTAGTGAGAGCTTGCAATGACCTGAAGAACAATGACTTAAAATTTCCCCAATGATTTAACTTGCCTAATAGCCAAGGAGTGAATTTGTTAAAGGTTTCTGGTTCATACTCCCCAACAAAAACACACCCAGCCTCTACATCACTTCGGGCCCACCTTGGCTTTTCGCTATGCTAGTGAAAATGGGATTATTACAGGGTTTTTTTGCACCGCTGTAACTGAGTGGAAAATCTGGGTCTTCTTTTGACCATTAGCAACATTCTGATGTGCACAGTTCAAAGAAATGGGGGAGGAGGAATCTAACAGAGGCTGAAAAATATAGTATGCCAGCTATAGAGACGCTGAAGTTAAACATCCGAAGTGAGAGCTAGATCAGATGAGTTAGATCACTAATTACTTTTCAGGGGGGAAATGACAGCGTATAAAAATAAACACACGTCGATGGGTCTGTTCTCCCTCTCTACAAACACTCCCTCTCCCATAGCTAACATGCAACCATCTCCAACTCGCACCGCTTGCTCTTAGTGGGACCGGACTGACTCCATGGTTTCAGACCCAAAGGTGCCAGCTCTTGATCGGACCCAACTTCACCGCCTGGCAGTGCCGAGTGTGCCAAGCCATCGACTTCTTGCAGCTCAGCACCTCTGCCCAGCAGGCTCCGGGCGTGCCAGGCTGGGGTCCCCCAAAATCGGAGGCGTCTTGGGGCCAGTGTCTGCCATCCGTATGCCCGTCCCTCCTGCCCCTCCTGCCCCAGCCCTGGCTGGCTCTTCCATCCAAGGGGCCTTACCAGGTTGACAGGGTGCACGTAGCCGTTCTCGTAGCGATCCTCCTGCAGCAGCTGCCGGAGGTGGGCGATGTAGCTGGAGGCCAGGCGCAGCGTGTCCAGCTTGGAGAGCTTGGTGTCGGGCGGCACCCAGGGCAGGCTGGTCTTGAGGCGGGAGAACGCCTTGCTCAGCACCCGCATGCGGGCCCGCTCGCGGGCGTTGGCCGCGTTGCGCTGCGACTGCTTGCACTCGCCCGGCACGCCCCGGGCCAG